CCCCAAAACCCCAAAACCCCAAAACCCCAAAACCCCTTTCTTGAAATAAAATGTTGAATTACCACTATCATGAAATAACATCAACTTAGAAGGAGATCTTCTTCCTTGAAAGATCAGCTTGATATTTATCCGAGATTCCAAGGGTCTTCAATTCACCCAGTTTAGAATGCTTAATTTCTTCAAGCCTCTTTCTTTCATTTTCGAGATTCTGTCTTACTCTTCTACCTTCTTCCAGGTAATCCAGTCTCTGCTGCTTGGTTGTCTCCTCGTTTTGGATGATCTGTGTTCTCAACTGCAAGGAGTGCTCTTTGAGAATGTTCTTCTTTTCACCACTAACCTGTCTGTCCTTCTCAGCTTCTTCTTTTTGAGATCTGATAATCCTAGAAAATTCGTCTCTCTCCTGTCTGGCTTGCTCAGCTAGTAACCTCTCTCTTTCTCTGAACTGAGTCTCTCTGGCTTCTTCCATGTCCCTCATGACTTTGAGCTGATGTTCTCTTTCCTTGCGTTCATTCTCTCTATGTCTTCTCTCTTGTTCTTCAAAGGCTCTTTTGGCTCTTAAAGCATCTATTTCAGCCTGCCTATCAGCAGCTCTTTCCTGTAGATCTCTTAACTTTTGGATATCTTTCTCCTTTTGTTCCTGGAGTTTCTTCTTCTCGATTTCTCTTTCTTCCTCAAGCTTGGCTTTAGCCATATTGTATTCCAAAATTTCGTTGTCTAATCTGAGCTCTTCTCTTCTTCTCTTTTCCTTCTCGCTGAGGGCTTCTCTGTTTGACTCCTCCACCTCATTGAGGAGCTTCTTGGCCTTTACTCTTTCTCTCTGCAGAGTTTCTTCTTCCTCAGCCTTGAGCTTCTCGATTTGTTCGGCCATTTGTTGTTTTTCCCTCTCGAGTAGCTCCTGTTGGTTGATTCTTTCTAACTCACGCTCTTTTATTTGGTCAATGATGACTAAGGCACCTTGCTTCTGGGCTTCTCTCCTTTGGTGCTCTATCTCTTCACGATGCTTGATACTTTTAAGCCTTTCTATTTCCATCATTATGTCTATGAGTTAGATATTGTAAAATTACCAAGTCTTTTATTCTCATCGAGGTACTCTTGCTCAAGACGCTTCTGCTCCTCGAGCTGTTTATCCCTAATCGTGACGCATTTAGAGTAGAGGACCATCTGGTTCATGGTTTTGACATCATCCATCTCTTCATCAAGAGCCTTTTGGGCGTTGTTTAGTAAGCCGGTTTTCTTTTGTGTCTCTTCCGTTTGGAATTCACTAGGAGGAAGTTTATTTGCTCTTTCCTTATCCATTTGCCTCATACGCTTCTTTCTGGCCTCGAACATAATTCTCTGCTGTTCCTTCTGTTCCTTGGCTAGTTGGGTCTCATGCATTTGCTGGTCCTTGGTGACAACTTTACTAGCAAGCCTGATCCTGTCAAGTTCAGATTTTGGTAAGATAATAGCGTCTTTTTGTAATCCCTTTTCAGTTTGTTCCCTAACTTTTCTTAATTCATTCACAGAAACAATAGTAGCACCGGCTCTAGACATTGCATTCCCATTGATTTTCTTTTTGTCGCTGCCAAAAAGAGATTCATCAACGTAAGATCCCTTGGATCTGACACTTCTGTACGATTTCTTGGATCTTACAGACCCAGCAACTGACTGTGGCATTTTATATGAAATTTATTTTATAAAAATATTCCATGAACTAGCTTTTGTTAGGGGTTTTGGGGTTTTGGGGTTTTGGGGTTTTGGGG